AAACAACATGAGACAACAACATGAGACAACAACATGAGACAACATGAGACAACAACATGAGACAACATGAGACAACAACATGAGAAAACATGATACAACAATATGAGACAACAACATGAGACAACAGCATGAGACAACATGAGACAACAACATGAGACAACAACATGAGAAAACATGAGACAACAATATGAGACAACAGCATGAGACAACATGAGAAAACAACGAGACAACATGAGACAACAACATGAGACAACAACATGAGACAACATGAGACAACAACATGAGACAACAACATGAGACAACAGGACACAACACACAACATGATCCAGATCTCCAGATCTGTTAATCCAGGTCTAGCGGTGAGAACTTTCATCTGTGTGTGTGTGTGTGTGTGTGTGTGTGTGTGTGTATGTGTGAGAGAGTGTACCCGTCTCCTGGGTTTGTACAGGTTCTCTGCGAGGACGTGGTGTGTCTCGGTGTCCTCCTCCACTTTCGCTCCGGGGACGTTATCGATTACTTGGAGGTCCAGACACACACCGCTGCCATTCTCACGCCTGGAGCACGCCAACAACACATTAGCATGTTAGCATGATACCAATAACAGGATGAGGTTTGACTTTGAGTCTCGATACACACTCACACACACACACACACACACACACACACACACACACACACACACACAGACAGTCATGTGACTCACAGGTAGTTGGTGACGTTGGTGACCTCAGGGAAAGAGGCTCTGCTGGCCATGGAGGGCAGAGACAGTCTGGCTGAGGTCAGGACGTTCCCACCCTACTCACAAACACACAAACACACACACACACACACACACACACACACACACTCACACACACACACACACACACACACACACACACTCACACACACACACACACACACACACACACACACTCACACACACACACACACACACACACACACACACAGGTCAGAAGTTAAAGGTGGAGGTCCTCCATCCTGACCTCAGTCAGTCATGAACTTTACCTCACCTGCAGCAGTTGAACTCCTGGAGACACGCTGCAGGTTCTCTGTACCTGAAACTTTTACTGACAGTAGTCTGTCCTGCCTTCAGCTTCACTGAATGAAGAGAAGTTCAACATGAAAATTCACTTTGTAAAGTTTTATTTACTCAGTTAAAGTACAGTTACTTTAATGAGGCTCAGCAGGTTCCCTGTTTTATCAGACTGTCGTTCCACGTCTCTGCTGATCAGGACAAACCTTAGTTTTTACAGTTTTTAAACTTTTTTTTTTATAGTTTTTACAATTTTTTCTAGTTAGGGTTTACAGTTTTTAGTTTTATTTTGTTTTTTACAATTTTTATTTTATACAGTTTTTAGTTTTTTTAAGTTTTAATTTTTACAGTTTTTATGGTTTTTACATTTTATACAATTTTTGTAGTTTTTAGTCTTTTTTTGTTTTTACAGTTTTTTTTTATAGTTTTTACAATTTTTACAGTTTTTACAATGTTTTTTAATACAGTTTTTAGTTTTTTTAAGTCTTAGTTTTTACAGTTTTTATAGTTTAAACAGTTTTTATAGTTTTTACATTTTTATAGTTTTTAGTGTCTATAGTTTTTTATTGTTTAAACAGTTTTTTGTAGTTTTTACAGTTTTTACAGTTTTTTATATATTTTTTTAGTTTTTTACAATTTTTATTTAATACAGTTTTTATAGTTTTTACATTTTATAAAGTTTTATAAGTTTTATTCAGTGTATATAGTTTTATATTGTTTTTTGTATACAGTTTTTTGTAGTTTTTACAGTTTTTTATAGTTTTTTTATAGTTTTTTAAAAAAAATCTTTATAGCTTTAAATTTTTTTTTTTACAATTTTTATAGTTTTCACTAAGTTCTTCTGTGGTTGATACATTAAGCACATCAGCAATGAGTGTCTGCTCAGGTCAAAGATGTTATACACTCATAATGAATTAAATACAATGATATTGTAGTTTTTCATACAGTTTTTATAGTTTTTACATTTTATACATTTTTTGTAGTTTTTACAGTTTTTATATTTTTTTAAAAAATGTTATAGTTTTAAATTTTTTTTCTAGTTTTAACAATTTTTATATATTTTTAATAAACAACAGTTTCTATTTTATACAGTTTTTACAGTTTTTATAATTTTTGGACAATTTTTTACAGTTTTCACAATTTTTATTTTATACAGTTTTAAGTTTTTTTAAGTTTTAGTTTTTACATTTTATAAAATTTTTGTAGTTTTTACAGTTGTTTTTAGTTTTTAGAATTTTTAAATTTTTTTTATAGTTTTTAGAATTTTTATTTAATACAATTTTGTAGTTTTTACAGTTTTTACAGTTTTTAGTTTATACAGTTGTTACAGTTTTTATAGATTTTACAGTGTGTGCAGTTTTTACAGTGTACTGAAGTGTGACTGGCTGCAGCTCATGTCTCTGTGTCTCTCACCAGCAGCAGTTTGTTTGTGTTGTTATTGCTTGGCTCGCTGTGATTGGTCCAAGGGACTCTTACCTGGTCGATGACACTGATGGCGTCTCTGATGTTGATCTTCTGATAGGCCTCCCAGAGCTCGCTCTTCCTGTACACAGACTTCCTGAGCAGCAGCTTGCTCAGGTAGTTCTTATCAAACTGCTCCCACCTGAGCAGGTGAGAGAGAGAGAGAGAGAGAGAGAGAGAGAGAGAGAGAGAGAGAGAGAGACAGAGGGATTGATTTTGAAAACTTCAGCTCTGGTTGTTTGCTCTCTTCAGTTACATGAACTCAGCTCCCCCTGCTGTTCACTGTCCGTCACTACAACAGAAGTTCACATGTTGAGTTCTAATGTTCTGACTCACTTGTCTCTCCAGTGGTGGTATCCCTGCAGCCCTGCAATGTCCTCCACTGCTGTCAGGATGTGGTCAAAGGCCTGAAACAAACACACACACACACGATGGATGGATGAGGATCAGGATCAGGGTGTCTCTATCTGCTCCAGCTCGTTAGTCTGACATGAAGCCTGAGATGTTAGCACTGTGTAACGAGCTGTAACAAGAAGAAGAAGAAGAAGAAGAAGAAGAAGAAGTAGAAGAAGAGCTCTCACCCTCTCATGTATCTCCTCGTTGATGGTCGGCTTCCTGCTGGTGGAACGAGGAACTTTGAGCCACTTGACCAGAGGTTTGATGGTCAGACCCTGAGACAGAGACAGAGACATGTCTCTGTAATCACTGCTGTTCAGACTGGACCTGAACAGATCCACCTCTCATGGTTCTGAGTACAGATGTGATCTACAGTCACTGAGTAGAGACACAGCCTGAGTCTAAAACCTCCAGATTCATCACAGTGTCTCTGAAGTCCTTCAGAGACGCACTGAGACAGAGTCTCTCCAGACTCTGATCCAGTTAAAGTCAATAACAACTGAATGAACTGTGGGAGAGCAGCTGAGTCTGTCTGTCTCTGTCTGTCCTCACTCAGGACACACCACAGCTCATTAATATCAAGCAGCTACAGTCACACACATGAAGCTGACTGCTGCTCACTGTGAGGGGGAGATCTCTACAGACATCGAGTGACATGAACCCACAGTAAGGAGTCCACGAGTCCAGAACCAGACCTGAACCAGACCTGAACCAGACCTGAACCAGTGTGAACCTGCAGAGACCAGTGTTACAGTCTAAAGTCTAAACTGTCAGCTGCTGCAGGGTCTCATGAAGAGTCCTGATCTGCTTCCAGATCAGCCTGAGTCCTGATCAGCCTCAGTCCAGATCAGCCTCAGGATACACTAAGTTCTGATCAGAAACCTGGTCCAGGTGTTCTCAGACCAGGTCTCTATCAGAGTTCAGCAGGTTCCTGAGAACCAGGATGTTCACACGTAAACACATTACAACTGAATCACCCTTCTCTGGACAGGAAGTGGTGCCACTCTCACCTGGAACATGACTGTGAAGAAGACGACCACGATCGTCGTGGCGACAAAGTAATCTTTGGCTTTGACATGCTTGCCATCCAGCAGCACCACCAAAGCGAACGCCACCGCTCCCCGCAGGCCGCCGTATGACATCACCACCTGGTCGATCTTGTCCAGAGGAACCAGCCGGAAGCGGTTCAGGACCCAGGTCTGACCAATCACACCTGGAGAGCAGAGGTTACTAAAGGTCAGAGCAGGTAGAGAGGACGAGGTTTAATAATGGACAAAGACTGAGTGATCGAGTGATCGAGTGATCTGGAGGAACCAGGAAATGACTGACCGACGGCTCTGAAGACGAAGATGAAGATGAGGGTGCAGGACACCAGGCCGGTGTCCCAGGCCCACTTGGACTTGTCCACGGCTGAGATCCCGAGGAAGATGAAGATGATGGTCTCGGCGATGCTGGCCAGAGTCTTCATCGTGTACTTCACCGTGGTCCGAGACTTCTGGGAAATGTTGGCCTCCACGTATTTATTGGCTCCGATGCCACAGAAGGTCATCCTGAGGAGAGACCAGATTTTTTTATTATTTCTATGTTTTTCAGGCTCATTTCTCTAAATTTTGTTTAATCTGTAAAAACTGGTTAAAAAATAAAAATGTTTGTGTTTGTTGTTGTAATACTCATTTCAGCCACAGGAGGCGGACGTGCACCACCACCTCAGTCTAAACACACCAAACGTCCAGGTGATGTTAATGTCTCTGTTCACTGCTGTTGGCTCATCAGGTCAAGCCTTTCAGCCAGGAACGACTCAGGAAGTCAGGTGAGTCAGGTGACAGAGAACCACAAAGTCCAAACAAGGACTGAACTGTGAAAACGTTTATATTTTTAATAAAATACGTTTTTTCAGAGTTGGAGAAATGAGCCTCGTCTTTCAGTCCATCTGTACAGAGCAGACTGGACAATCATTCACTGCATTATATTTAATTTATACAACCAAGTGATCTGATTGGTCGAGAGTCATTCCATGAGGCTGATATAGAGAACAACAGCACTGGGACCTTTAACTCCACGTATCACTCAGCTGTTCTATCAACCGTTAATCAGCGTCACATTAACGTCGTTATCGATCTCAGACTGTAACAAACAAAGATGAAAATATTTCAGAAATAAGGTTTGAATGAAACGATGTCGTCAGGAGAGGATGGAGGAAGAAGGTGGATCCTTCAGGAACACCTGAGGGAACGAGCAGCTAGTGACAGGGACATGTTTATGTGTTGCTTAGCAACAGTCCAGTTGGAACTATTTGTGCTGGTGTAAACAAATAAATGATGAAATAAACAAACAAATCACAATCTGTTGTTGTTTATCGACTGAGTCACAGCTGATATTCAGAACAAGGTCACGACCTCCGTGAGATATTCTCTGTGCTGTGTGGAGGTCGACCTGGAGTGACCCTGAGCCTCGTGAGTCAGTCACAGGAACAGATGTAGGAGGTGATGTCACTGTGACATCACTGTGATGTCATGAGCTGAAGTCCTGAGTGAAACTGTCAGCAGCTGATTGAAAGTGTCAGAAACAATCAGAGGAAACGTTCGATCGATCTGAAGGAGTAGGAAGCATGAGGCCCAGTGTGTGGTCACTGGCTGTACTGGTTGTACTGGTTATATTGGCTGTACTGGCTGTACTGGCTGTACTGGCTGTACTGGCTGTACTGGTTGTACTGGTTGTACTGG